TTATTGTTTCTTTCCTTTTTCTTGCTTTGCTTTAGTTTTGCTTTTCTAGTCTCTTACAGTGAAAACTTAGGTTATCGATAGCAGATTTTTTTTTTTATAATAAGGCATTTACAGCTAAAAACTTCCTTGTAAGCACTGCTTTAACAGCACTCAACAAGCTTTGATATGTTGTGTTTTCATTTTTGTTCATCTGAAAGTTTTGTGATCTTCCTTGTGATTTCTTATTTGACCTATGGTTATTTAGGTGTATGTTGTTTAATATCTACATATTTGTGAGTTTTCCATGTTTTTTATGTTACTGATTTCTAGTTTCATTACATTGTGGTCAAGAGAACATAATTTATACGATTTCAATCCTTTCAATTTATTTAGACTTGTTTTATGATATTTCTGTGTACACATGAGAAGAATGTACTGCTGTAGTTGGAGTGTTCAGGTAGATGTTTGTTAGGTCTAGTTAGTGTAGTGCTACTAACATCTTTCCTTCCTTGTTGATCTTCTAATTGTTCTGTTCATTATTAGAAGTGGATATGGAAATCTTCAACTATTATTATTGAACTGTTTATTTGTACCTTTTATTTTTAAAGGGTATTACAGTTCAGAATAGCCAGAGTGATGTTAAACCTCTAGTCACTTCTCTTTGGGAGAGAATTATGGTCGGCTTAGGTTAACAGGACTGGGTCTAGAAGTTGTTTTCCCTTTCAAGCAATACAATGTTAATTCCTCAAATTAGAAAAAGAAAATTTCAGTGCCTCAATATTTCCTATGATGCATAGACAGTCTTTTAAACAGAATGCTGGGGACCATGTCTTTTATTCACCTACAAGCTAACTTCAGTATGCTAGGAAAATCATCAGTTTGCACCCTGGAGCGAAGGCCTTCTGGCTCCATTTTAGAGTGGTTTCCCTTTATTGATTTTCATGGTTATATGTGGACTGTGGGATGAGATTGGAGAACTACAAAAGGGAAATCAAGAAAGTTTTGAGTTTAAACTTAATCATGAGGGCAAAGGGGGGTGGTTGTATCACTTAATGATTGCTACATAAGAAACTACCCCCAAATTTAGTGTCTTCAAAACAGCAACCATTTATGACAATTCTTTGGGCTAGGGTCAGCTTGGGGTTCTTCGCTGGATTTGTTTGGAGTTATTCACACTTCCGTAGTCATCTGCAGGCTTGATGGAGTTGGGTGATCTAAGACAGCCTTGTTCCTCTGTCAGGCAGCTGGTCACAGCTGTTCAGTGGTTGGCCCAGGTGGCCTGAATAGGGAGGACTTAATATGCTTTCATCCTCCTGTGCCAAGAAGGCATTTCCATGTGGTCTTGAAGACCTCTGGAGGCCTAGCGTCAGAAGTCCATGTTGTCGCTCACCTGACATCTGTTGGTTTGAGTCGAGTTGTTAAGCCTGCCCAGATCCAGGGAAGTGGAGAAATAGACTCTATCTACCTTTGGATGGCATAGGCAGCACAGTCATCCTGTGAAAAGGTTATGTGCACAGGAATGAGGTTCAGAACTCGTAGCTCAGGCTTGCAGTCTTCTGTGGGTGTCCTAGGATAACATAGGTATTTTAGAATGACCGCTCTGAGTATGGTATCAAGAAAGATTTGAAGAAGGGAAGGGAAGAGAAGTCAAGTTAGTGTTAGGAGGCCATTGCAGTCCTCTGTAGGAGAGATGGTCGTATGAATGAATAAAGACATCACCACATACTTATCATCTAAACATCTCAGGTTGTTCCGTACTGATCTATAAAGGGGCAGACGGAGAGAGGAGACGTTGAACTGATCCAGAGAGGCTGCACTAGATCAGGCTCAACTGGAAATAATTGGTTAGGTTGTGTTAAAGTTTTTTCTGATAGCTCAGATCATTTAAGGGAGAAACTTGTGATCCTTTTTTTCCATCAGCATACTGGCCACCAAGAGCTTAGGAAGAATTGGAAGGAAGGCAGATTTATTTTTGTCACCTTCTTATATCCAGTTGCCAACACTAAGTTCCCACCATACCAAGGCCTGCCTGCCTGTCATAGTACATTTCTCTCATGTATCACTGGTACTGGCTAGGAACAGTTAGTTCAATTAAAGTAATTTATGTAGAGGTGAGAAAAAGAAAGTGTTTGCATTTTAGAAGAGGTGCTTGTTAAACAACTTCTGATTGATATATCTGAGCATATAATACATAAACAAAATGCAGGTTGTCTGGTTTTTGTTTTTGGTTTTTTTTTGTAAGGTGTTAAAATAGCATAATGTCCTAAAATATATCACACAGATTAAAGTGTGTATCTGTTTTTATGTTTAATCAGCATGGCCATCACATGGGTCTCTACCCTAGTGGTCTCCGTAAATAGAACTTTATTGCCTACAAAAGCACCAAACCAAGGAAGCTGCAAATGAGAAATAAGAGTTGCCTTCTTATGCTCCCTATGCGCTGTTCTCAGGGGTTTTTGAGATTCTTGTATGCGTGATGCTTAATAAATAAAATGATTCAAGAGCAACAGTTGGGCTCTTTATTGACATGCTCACCCAGTGTTCAGAAGCAATTGTTTTGTAGTGTGGAGTTGGTGACTATCAGAATTTTTACCCAAATAACTAGAAATTATCAGTAAGTGCATATAGGCTAGTTTACTTTTTTTAAAATTCATTTTTGCCACTGCTTCTAGTTTTTTTTCTGTAGATTTTAAAACAGATTCCAAACATACTGTCAGTTCACAAACAAATACGCTAATGTGTATCTCTAAGAGATATGGATCTTTAAAAAACACACCTTACTTCAATACCATTAAGTTACAAAGAGTATAATTCTTTAGTATCATCTAATATCCAGTTCATTTTCAAATTTCCATGATTGTTTCAGAATTGTCTTTTTTCCAGATAGTTTGAGTCAAACCCCAAAGTCCCAGAGTATTGCTTTTGGTTAATATTTCTTACATTTCTTTTAATCTATATACTAACATAGTTCTCCCTCCTTTTTCTTTTTTTCTTTGCCCATACCATTTCCTTGTTGAAGAAACTGGGCCATCTGCTTCAGAAATTTTTCTACATTTTGGGTTTTGCTGTTTAAAAGATCAGAGAAAAAAATGTTAGTCTCTGAAGAAGAGATCCTGCTTCCATCTCACAGATTTTGTAGAGTGCTTACTACTATAGTGGGGTGAGAGAAGGGCTATTTGGATACATCATCGAACAAAGACAAAAATCCTTTCCTTCATAGCATTTAAATTACCATTCCATGGGCAGCAGACAAAAACGAATCATAAAGTTTGTTGGAAATCCTCTAGAAAACAGTAAGAGCAGAACAAGGGGTTAGGGAGGTGTGGGACCTTCTTGGACTAGTGGGGTGTGGGGCTGACTGCCCTGGAAGTCTTACGAGGGTGGAGCAGAGGGGTTGCAGGGATCTGATTTACATTTAAAGGGGGGCACTGTGGCTGCAGTGCAGTGGGTGAAGGAGCAAGGGTGGAAAGCTACTCTATAACCTGGGCAAGAGGTGGTAGAGGAGTAGATGGAGGGCAGTGTGGGGAGAGCCAAGGGTGATGGCAAAATTTCTGTCTCTAGCGGCTAGAACGACTTACGCAGAGGGTCCCAGAAGGCTTGATTGCAGGCAGAGGCTGAAAAGTTGCTGCCATTTCCATTCACTATTCTGTTGGTAAAGGACTATTGAAAACTAGTCCTTTTTGGAAGATTATGTTAAAGGCCTTTTGGTTTGGAGGGGGTGAGTTGTTAGATGCTTAAATTTTTTTTTAAACTTTGTAAAATGCTTTCTGTTTTTGCAAATGTCTTATTTAATGGCATGTAAAGGTACTTTTCATTGGACATGGCAAAAATTTAGAAATTCACGAGTTTGTATTTTTAATAACATTTGTTCTTGGCTCTTTGAAAATTTTCAAAACTACAAAAAAAAGTTAAAAGTAAAATAATATTCCCTTCATCTAAATTCAGCAGTGAGCATTTTTTAACGTTTGCTTTAGGAAGTACGTACATACCGTTTTGGTTTTTTTTGCTCTTGTTGCTTTGCCAAACCGTTTGACGGTAAGTCACAGACATCAAGAATTCCCAAATAGTTATCTGTTGTAAAGTCCGTATTCATATTTTACCCTTCTGTTCCCTGTTCCTCCAGGATCCCCCATTTTGTTGTGTGACTCTCGCATCCTTCGACATGTATGAGTCTCCTGACCTTTACTTCCGTCTTTTATGACATTGGCATTTCTAAGGACAGCACGCCTGTTATCTTGTAGAATGTCCCACAGTCTGGATTTGTCTGATTGTTTCCTCACGATTAAATTCCAGTGAAATGTAGATTTACTTCTACCTTTTAAAGACTTAAAAATATAAGCATAAGAATAGTGAGGGCTTTACAGAGTCTTTTGCAAGCATCACTTTCAGTTACTACCAAGTGGTAGCAAGGTGCCTAGTCTTGTAATAAGCGTTGTCATAGAATCAACATTAAGTTGAAGGGAATTTTAGGTTTATCTCCAGAAGTCATAAACTGCAGACAATTAGCAGAATAGATACAGTCTTAAAATGTAACAAACAGAAAGTTGGATTTTGACCCCCTGGTATGGGCTGTGTTTTCCTTATTGTTCTTCCTCCCCCACCATTTAAATCATCTGTGCTGCCCCTGAAGCTTTTGAGCAAGTGACCCACATGCCCACCTCTCTCTTTACATAGCTAGAGAAACCAGGCTTAGAAAGGCCAAGTTGCTGAGGGACACATAATTAGTAAGAGACAGAATAGTCAGATCTTGGAACCTCAGTCTCTTAAAGACCCAGTTGATTCTCAACCAAAGCTCAGTTATTTGCAGTCATGGGACAAGTGAAAAAGTTTATAACTTTGCCACCTTCTGTGATTAGGCAAGGAATCAGGGATGCCACAGAATGAAGTTTTATCGTATATAATATAGGTAGGTCCTAAGCTTATTTTATACAGTCTTTATTTTGTGTGTTAGATACCATTTTAGCAAAATTGATTTCTTTTATCTGTCTCTATTTTTCATAATAACTTTCTTCCTTTTTTAGCTACAAGGCTTTGGCAGACCAAGTGTGTATCATGCTGCTATTGTCATCTTCCTAGAATTCTTTGCGTGGGGCTTGTTGACAACTCCAATGTTAACTGTAAGTATTGCTGAACAGGTCCTTGTTTATGAAAGCAAAACAGAGGTTCTTAAGCATATATCCCCAGGGCCAAATGTTTAGGTATGTGTTTGAGAGAATCTCTTGACAGTGATTTAAGACTGCTTATTCCACTGTGTTGTCTCCACTGTGTAGACTAAGAACTACCTGCAACAAAACACCTGGGCTGCACGTTAAATATTCTTGGGTAGCAAGGCACTCCCACTGAGCCAGAATCCTGGAAGTGCTGTGAGTGAACTGTAGGTATTTAGGAAGACTGTGAAGATGCACAAGGGGAAATTACTGCAGTTTTGTTGAACTTTGTAACTTACTTTGTATGGATGTAATGGCCTTTGACTAAGAACATAGGAAATAGATTGGTAAGTACCTTGTAACAGTGATCATTGCCGTATTTGGTAGCTTACTCGCTATAGCCACTTCTTTGCAGAGGCTGTACTGAATTTCTTAGCCAGAACCTGGATATTTGATATGTGTTGTGGTTAGAGGGAAGGAAAATGCCTAAGAAAGCGTTGGCATGTAGATTTTGTGTGCTTAATTACTATTTTGTTTTTTTTAAAAAAAGATTTTATTTGAGAAAGTGCACATGCACGTGTGTGCGCAAGCAGGGGGAGGAACAGAGAGAGCGAGAGAATCCCAAGTGGACTGAGGACAGAGCCCGACAGAGGGCTCAATTTCAGGACCCTGAGATCATGACCTGAGCCAAAATCAAGAGTCAAACACTTACTCGACTGAGCCACCCAGGTGCACCCCAATCACTAACAATTCTAATAAAAATATTTTAAAATTGAAGAAAAAGATATTTTTAAATTGGCCTTACATTTCAGTTGTCTTAAAAATCATTGGTGGTTAACTCTTCCCAGTCACCATTTTGCTTTACCAGAGAATCCCTTTGGATACAGATAAACTTTGGTTCCAAATTAGCTTTAGAAAACAGGGATCTTTAAAGGGTGGCTATTAGCCATACATAAGACTTTGCTATGTTTAATTCTTCTGGTGCATTTAAAATAAAATTTGATTTAATTAAAATGACAGCTTGGATGGAACAGTCAGCCTAAAGGATTGCCTGTGTTTTTAAACCTCTATTTTATTCTCTCATTATACTACCTTTTCCTTCCTAATGCTTTACTACAGAAGGTAATTGGTTATTAGTTAATGGGGGTAAGTGGTCCCCGTTTTAAGTTTCATGAGCCTGCTGTGTTCACCACTGTTTGGGCTACCTATGACACAGTTGGTGCTCAGTAGATATTTTCTTTGAATAATAAGTATATGCATTGTAGGCACACGTGTTGTGTCCTTGAGGGATTGTTTCTCTGAGACCTGTTTTCAGTATGAATATAGACACAACAGGCTACTCATTGTAAGGAACTATGTTACTTAATTTTTGGTCTAGGCTCTCTCACTCTGTCCATGTCCATGTCTATGTCCCCCCCAGCCCCCATGTGTTAAGCGTTTTAAATAGTTTAAATAGTATTTTTCTAAGACAACCAGAAATCCGCTGTAGTGGTTCAGCAGGTTTCTCAATATAGAGTTAATCCTATAATCACGTCTAGTAAGAATTCAAAGTGAAGAATACTTTAATATTTTTGAGGCCTTGTTAGAAATTCTAAAACCACCTTCCAGACAGTTAAAATCTTTGGGGACCTTTCTGGCCCTAGACCAGATTGTCAGATCTCTTTTAATTTTAATTAATTAGTTATTTAATTTTAATATGCATCCAAAGACTGATGTGCCTTTCTTCTTACTGCCCAATGCAGATAATTTTCCTAGGCGTTCTTTGTCCTTGTTAGACCCTGGAATGCAACCTTAGAAGCCAGCTAAAATGCTGTTTTATTTTTCTCTTTGCAGTTTCTGAGCAGTTTTGCTGCTTTCAAAGATTTGGTTAAAATAAACATGTGAGGAGTACAGCGTTGCTAGCATCACTCTGACACACTATACCGTCATAGAAAAAGTGTTGCTGAGTTAATAGATGGGTTCATTCTCTCTTTTCTGAGCTCTTGGTGTTGCTAAATTAAGCTAAATGTCCTATCTCCCTTAGCCTTTACATCACAGTTTGCTACCTCTGTTTCTGTTCTGACGTGGCAGGGCTGGTTCCTTTCACCTTCTTTATGGGGGGTGGGGGCGAGATTTTCTCTGGCATATCCCCTCTACTTTCTGCCTTTTCTGGTTGTACAGAGAACTGATAATGTTAGGTTGTTTGATAAGGAAGGGACAGAATGAGGGTTTGTTTATTACAGCAGGACTTCGTTGATCCTCTTCCTTGGTGTTGGGGTTTACTGTCGTCAGTTAACTAGTTCTTGGCATCCTGCATCTATCGCCCACTCTGGTGTAACTATTAGGATGATGGTTCATGTGTGGGTTTTTTTTTCCATGCCGTAACTAGTGGACAGCACTCTGTCCTCTTTCCATCAGGTGAGAAAAACAGTCTGAAGTAAGGATTTGGAGATACAGAACGGTACCCGCATATTAGTATTTTGTCCAGTCTGACTGCCTGCATCCTAGCACTCATTAGAAGAGCTCTGTTTGAAGTAGTACAGAATTGGAGACTTTCCAGGATGGCGGAGAAGTAGGAGACCTTAGTTTTGTCAGGTCCCAGGAATTCAGCTAGATTGCTATCAAATCATTCTGAACACCTGTAAACTCATCCAGAGATCTAAGAAAAGAATTGCTGCAATTCTACAAATAGAAAAGTGACCACGTTCTGCAAGAATGACAAGACAAAAACTCAGCTCAAAAAAGAACAAGAGAGGGTACTGACAGCCAGAGACCTAATCAGTATGGATATAAGTAAGATGTCAGAACTAGAGTTTAGAATAACGATTATAAAGATACTAGCTGGGCTTGAAATAAGCATAGAAGACACTACAGAATCCCTTTCTGGAGAGGTAAAAGAACTAGAATCTAATTAAGGCAAAATAAAAAGGTCTGTTAATGAGATGCAGTAAAAAATGGAGGCTCTAATTGCTGGGATAAATGAGGCAGAGAGATGCCATTCCCATTGGAAATATGGACTTGGTCCTGCTTATAGTCATTCCCATCCCATTGCTGCTTTTCTGACTAGGTCTTAGTTTGCGTTTCAGGGCCTTGGGGCTGTTAACGTACACAGCCAGGGTGCCAAGACTGGTGGCAAGTTCCCAGTCAGTCCCTGAACACTTGGTGCTTAGCTGGCTAGGGTATTCATGGGGATGGGTAAAGATTTAATTTTCTGTTACACTGGTACATGAAACAATTTGTGTTTTGACCTTGTGTCTAGTGATTTTGCTGAATTCACTTACTAATCCTGTGTTTATCTGCAGATTTTTGCATACACGTTCATATATTTTGTTAGTTTTTAAATCTTCCAGTCCTTTTTCTTTTTCTTTTTCTTACTGCATTGCTGTGACATTCAGTACAGTGTTGAATAGAGACGATCATAGTAGGCATCCTTATCTCATAGATGATTTCTGTTGGAAAGTGATCCAAAATTTAAAACTCACCACTAAGTATGTTATTTGCTATAGATGTGTTTTTGTAGATACTCATTGTCAGAGAAGGGAAATTCCCCTCTATTCCTGTTCTGCTTACAGTTAACTAATTAGGTGTTAAATTTTATCAAATGAATTTTCTGCATGTAACTAGATAACAACTAGATTTTTCCTTTATTTGAGTAATGTGGCCAGTTATATTGATTTTTTTAATTGAAAGATTTTGTTTATTTGAGAGAGAGAGAGAGAGAGAGATTACAGGAAGGGGGGGTAGAGGGAGAAGCAGGCTCCCCGCTGAGCAGGGAGCCCGACGCGGAGCTGGATCCCAGGATTCTGGGATCATGACCCGAGCCGAAGGCAGACATGTAACCGACTGAGCCACCCAGGTGCCCAGTTAGTACTGATTTTTGAATATTAGGCCACCCCTGCATAAATCCCACTCACTTAGTTCTGATATATATTTATAACTAGAAGCTTGTACTTTTCATCCCCTTCACCCATTTCACCCACCATCCCCTGCCTCTGGCAACCACCAGTCTGTTCTCTGTGTTTTGTTTGCTTCCACATATAAATGAGATAATATGATATTAGTCTTTTTCTGTTTGACTTATTTCTCTTAGCGAAATGCCCTCAGGGTCCATTAATGTTGTCTCAAGTGGCAGAATTTCCTTCCTTTTTAATGGCTGAATAATATTCCCGTGTGTGTGTGTGTGTGTGTGTGTGAGTGTGACAGTTTCTTTTATTTTTATTTTTAATTGAAGTACAGTATGATATATTAGTTTCAGGTGTACAACATAGTGATTTGACAGTTCTATACATTACATAGTGCTCACCGTGATAGTTACCATCTGTCACCATACAGAGTTTTTACAGTCTTAATGACTATATTCCCTATGGTCATAGATTGTTGCATGTCTATTATCTTAATTTCTAAACATTTGGGGACTTTTCGAGATTGTATTATCATATTATGAATTATTTCAGTTCTTCAAAACTTGTTGAAGCTTGTTTTGTATACTTGCATATGGTTAATTCTGATGAATTTTCCATATGATCTGAAAAGAACAAGTATTCCCTGGAGTAGTATTGTCTATGTGGTAAGTATGTTAAATTTGTTAATTATGTTTGATGTCTTTTATATATTCACTGATGTCTTTTGTCTACCTGTTCTGGCATCCTTCAAGAGAGATGTATTTCTCTTCCACTTTTTACGTTATTGTTGTGCAGCTAAATTCTGTATTTTTTTAAACACTACAGTACATTGTATTATTTTATACAGTCAGTATTTACCCTGATACTTATCCATTCTGATGTTCTTCCTTTTCTGTATTTCTGTGCTTTCTCCTATAATCAGTTCTTGAAGACTTTTTTTTACTTGTTTTGCTTTGGTGCAGGTCCCTGTGCAGCACATTGTTTTTAATGTGCATAGCATTTTTTGGATGACTTGGAGGACACTTATTTTATTTTATTAAAAAAAAATTTTTTTAAGATTATATTTATTTATTTGACAGAGAGAGAGCGAAAACAGGAACACAAGCAGGGGGAGTGGGAGAGGGAGAAGCAGGCTTCCTCCTGAGCAGGGAGCCCAATGTGGGACTTGATCCCAGGACTCCGGGATCATGACCTGAGCCCAAGGCAGACGCTTAATGACTGAGCCACCCAGGCGCCCGGCACTTACTTATTTTAAAACTTTCTTCTGTTTCCTACCATAATTTGGTTATTTGGCAGTGAGGCAGATTATCTTTTTCTGTTTGTGTTCTTTTTGTGCCTTTCAGTATTTTCAGATTTGTTACTGAATTTTATACATGCTTATATTTACAAATGAGGGGTAGATCAGAGATGGTGAAAACAAATGTCTTCTGGGGCTAGGCAAGTAATGTAAATGTCAGAAGTGGTGTTGGAATGTTGTAGTTGGAATACATGCTCCTTCAGCTGCAGCAGCCACTGTCTGCTTACTCAGCTAATCAGTGATGTGGCAGTTGAAGCCCCATGTTTTGAAATCTTCTGAGTTCCTGTGACATGCTAGAAAATCATATGGAGTATGATTTTTCCTAAAATTTACACAGTGACAATTATCACACTTTGAAAAACACAAATACAAGTCAGAAAGAGTATCAGCTTGCCAATTTGCCACCTGTGCCCTAGACACCTCTGGTAGTTGGAGTACTGCCCCGGTGGACAGGCCTGTTCCTCAGAATTGAATGCAAGCACTGCTTGTAGGAGCTCTTGATTTATGACAGTGTGGTTGTTCAGAGATCCCTCTATAATGACGAATTAGTTTATTGTGTGATTGTAGGGCTTTATGCTACTCCTGGCAAACATAAGGAACCTGGGGCATTACCATTTTTTAATCCTACCCATTTGGTTCTGCAGGTATCCCATTTAGTAATGTCAGTTCAGAGAACTATGCTGTCTGATCCTTATGTTGGGCACAGATACGGAGGTCAGCAGCCTTGAGAGCAAGATACCAGCAGCTCATTTTATAACCGTTTAAAAACCTCTTCAACTATGGATGTTTTTCCTCCTCCAGTGCTGAATCTTGTTTTTTTTTTTTGTTTTAGTTTTTTTTCCTGGACTCTGGGAAATTTACGTTTTCAAAGATCTTTTTTTTACCCCACCTTCACATGTTATTGTTGCTTCAACTCTTTCAGGGTTTCCTGTCTGCTGTGTATCATCCAGAAGTCCCTCACTATTCTTAGCTTCTCAAGAACACTTTAAATTTAGTTTCCCATCAGTGGAGTTTTAGGTAGAAGTAACAGAAATAGAGCTGTGTGTGTGTGTGTAATGTGTAAGCATATAAACATACATACGCGGTTATTAGCTTCATTGTACTAGAAGTCAGTTCAACTCTCTAAACTTTCAGTTATTAGGAAATACTATTACAGGGGCGCCTGGGCGGCTCAGTCGGTTAAGCGTCTGCCTTCAGCTCAGGTCATGATTCCGGGGCCCTGGGATCGAGCCCCACATCAGGCTCCTTGCTCAGTGGGGAATCTGCTTCTCCCTCTGCTGCTTCCCCTGTTTGTGTTCTCTCTCTTTCTGCCAAATAAATAAATAATTTTTTTTAAAAAAAGGAAATACCATTATATTTAATGCTTACAATAGTCCTGAAGAATAAAGGCAATATCTTCCTTAAGTTTTATTTTATATAGGAAGATGTTAAAAATGAAAGCTTAGATTTCTATCAGAAATGTTTAATAAACTTTTTATCGTTAGGTTAAATTATATACTGTATTTAATTTTTTTTAATTTATCATAAAATGGGTAGAATATTGCGGTTTTGTTTACAGCTGCTTTATTTTATGAAGACTTGGCTTTTTTTTATTGACTTATTTATCCAATAAGATTTAACTGCTTTCTTCTCCACTCCCTCCCCCACTAGGAAAATGAAGAAGAATTTTGAAAAGTACAGATCGAAAATTCTTAGAGGAACTTCCTGCATCGTGGCACTGTTGCCCAGAAATGGTCCCTCACATAGCCAGGCATCCCATTAGATCTCTTCAGTTTAATGTACAGCCCAGTAAATGCATACTCCATTGCTTATACATGCAGATGGTTTTGCCAAACTTAAGTGGTTGTCTCCTGTTTCTGGATTGCATCACCTGCACAAGTGAATGCATGTTTGGGTCGTTTTGAGGGTAGAGTTGTTTTAGGGGAGGTCAGAGGACAGAGCCGGAGGCAGTGGAGGATCGGTGCCGGTGCCCCTTTGACAGCAAACAGGCAGCCCTGGGGTTGGTGTAGTATTCACAGGCACTTCTCCACCTTCTGTTTCCCCCAGCAGAAACTGTGAGAAAGCCTGTACACACAGGGAGTCTGAGAAATGTCTGTATGCTCTCAGCCTCAGTTTGACAGAATATGTAAGGGGAGAACAGAGGGTTGTGAGACAGTAGATACCCACACCCAGTGGCACACCCAGGATTAGAGAAACATTTTTAAAAATATACTGACTTTCCTGTGTTTTCTGTTTCACCATATGATGCATGTAACAAGTGAAACTGTTAAGTAGTTCTGATAGTGATTTGCATTCCATTTTCTTTAAAGAAAAGTTTTATATCTCTGTATCCTATGAAGTGTGTTATTTTTGAGAATTTTCTGAGAACTCTAAAGATTTTTAACGTGATATTTGCTGTCCCTTATCTACTTTCTTATTTTTCCATTATAAATAGGTAGAGTTCAAATGCCGCTAGCTGAGATGACAGACCTTTTCTAAACTTAAGAATAATCTTGTTAAGGGAAAGGTTGGAAATGATTTCTGTGAATGCATTTTACTTTCATAGCATTCCATGCAAACTTACTGAAGTCTAATGTCAATATCTTCACCCTCATCCAGGACAGCAGTGTCAGCACGAGTGAGGTGAAGGAATGTAAACACTTCATTTAGTTACCTCGTTTATTCTAATGTCATTAAGTCTTCTAATTCCACACAATTAAAAATAAAACCTCCAGGGCGCCTGGGTGGCTCAGTTGGTTAGGCGACTGCCTTCGGCTCAGGTCATGATCCCGGAGTCCCGGGATCGAGTCCCACGTCGGGCTCCCTGCTCGGCAGGGGGGTCTGCTTCTCCCTCTGACCCTCTTCCCTCTCGTGCTCTCTATCTCTCTCTCTCTCTCAAATAAATAAATAAAATCTTTAAAAAAAATAAAAATAAAAATAAAAATAAATTAAAAAAATAAAAATAAAACCTCCAGGACACATCATTTTGTTGGGTGCATCACTGTTCATTTATATTGACCATTTTCTTTGCTGTTTATTTCATGTTGCATCTCACATCTTAGTCTAGATTATTTTCCTTCTACTGGAAGTACATTTTTTTGTATCTCATTAGGTGGAGTCCATAAGTTAGTAGACTCACTACTGTAAGTTTTTGCTAGGTTAAAAATTGTGCTCAAAACACATTTTAACCAGGTACAGAATTATAGGTGGGCATTTGTCTTCCTTTCCTCGTTATGTTGATGATAGGATGGCATGCTTCTTGTCTGGGCTCCATTGTTACTCTTACGAAGACATCTTAACTGCTGCTCATTTAAAGCCAGTCTGTATTTCTCTTGCTGCTTTTAAGTTTTTTTGGTTTGTTTTGGTTTGGTTTGGTTTTCTGATTGTGAGTTTGGATTTCTTTTTATATTGCTTAAAATTTATTATGCTGCTTTAATCTCTGCCCTGATGTCTGTCATTGGTTCTAGTACATTCTCAGCCATTGGCTCCTGAAATTTTGTGTCTGCCTCATAAACAAGACAAGTTTAATTGAAGTTGTGTCATATTTTCTTATAGGATCCTCTGTGTCTTTTACTTTCTCTTTTGTTTTTTGTCTTTTTGTCTCTCCATATTGCATTCTGGATAGTTTCTGTTGACCTACTTTTGGGTTCAGTAATTCTCAGTCATGTCTAATCTTATCAGATATCTCCATTGAGTGAGTTCCTAACTTAAGTCAATACATTTTTCTGTTTTGGAATTTCTTTTCTTTTTAAAATCTGTGGACTTTCTTACAGCTTCTAGTTCAAAAATTTCAAGCTTATTTTCTATGTCTTGGAACATAGTAAGCATATTTTTTAAAGATTTTATTTATTTGAGAGAAAGAGAGCATGCACGTACCAGTGGGCAAAGGGGCACAGAGAGAGAGAGTCAAGCAGACTCCCTGCTGAATGAGGAGCCCGACACAGGGCTTGATCCCAGGACCCCAAGATCATGACCTGAGCCAAAGTCAGATGCTTAACTAACTGAGCTGCCAAGGTACCCCAAGCATACTCTTTTTACATTATTTCTGTTAAGTAATTCCAGAATGTGAAGTTGTTGAGAGTCTGTTTCTATTATATACATATTCTTTGTTGCTCTTTCTTGCTCATGGTGTCATATTTCATTTTGTATCTGATTACCTTTAATTGTGTCCTGGTCATTATATTTGAAAAAAAATATATGGTTGATTTGAAACCTAGATGATGCCTTTTCAGGATTGATTTTAGATTTTTTCTGTTAGATATCCAGAGGTGCTACCAGTCTGGAATCACTGTGATTCAAATTGAAGGCTTGAAGTTTCCTGGACTACCTAGGTCACATGAAGCTGGGCTGCAGGTTCATACTTGAGCTTATATAACCTTTTGTGGCACCTGCTTAAAATTGTTGGTGGTGAAGGGGGCCCATTAACAGTTTGTGTTTGCTGCAAATGCTTTTGTAAGAAAAGCACCTGAGTGCTCCTGTGTAGGTTCTTGCTTTATTTAGATTTCTGCCTCATTATTTTTTACCTTTTCATACTTTAAGGATATTTTACATATTTCGCTGATACTTAAAATGTTTTCAGTCCAGGTTTCATCTTACTTACCTAACCTAACATTAACAGAAGCAAAGTCTTTCTCTTTAATTTGTTTTTGAATTTCTCTTGATGTTTGTTTGCTTTTTGTAGGTTCTACATGAAACATTCCCTCAACACACATTCCTCATGAATGGTCTCATTCAAGGTGTAAAGGTAAGAACAGTTTTTGTGTGGTTCACAGGGAACCAAAGGCAGGAATCCTTTAGTAGTTTAACTCTGGAAGTTTAAGTGAGAAGTAGGGAAATAATCACTATTTGTTCTGGAACCTAAATCTAAACTTCTACCTAGATTATTAATGTCAAAATGAAACATAACCCAAGCCCATAAGGCATAGAATGGTTTACTGGTAAAAGCAGTACTTCATTTTTATTAACATGTGTACAACAGTTTATAAAGTGTTTAATTATGTGAGGCTTTAAATTGCCCTGTCTATCATATTCTTGTCTGCTTTTGAGATTGACTTTGATATTGAGGAAGAAGACAGCATCAAGATTTCATCAGCTATATAGTCGTCTTTTGTCAAAGTTTGTGTTCTAGTCACAACTGAGTCCTCGACCATGTAATTAATTAGCCTTAATTCATTGTTTAAATTTTAATGTGATATTTATCAGAAAAGCTTATGAAAGATTAGAATGTTATGTTCCAGTCCCACTTCACAGTATAGTCAGTCTATGGGAATAGTGTCCTGTGTGTCCCTCCCAGCTTGGATGGTATTGATCTGTGAGTTGAGGAGCACACAAAATTATATCGTAGTAATTTGCTGAATTTACAGCTGGGAGCAGCATTATTTGTAATGAATGCTATTTATTCTTTTCCTAGTTTCAAAAAGAATTTGAGTATGCTTACAATAATGGCATTTTATTTTTTACTTTTTTATTTTTATTTTATTTTTTTTATTTAAAGATTTTATTTATTTGAGAGAGAATGACAGAGGGAGAGAGAGAGAGAATGAGAGAGGGAGAGAGAGAGCATGAGAGGGTCAGAGGGAGAAGCAGACTCCCCGCCGAGGAGGGAGCCTAATGCGGGACTCGATCCTGGGACTCCAGGATCATGACCTGAGCCACAGGCAGTCGCCCAACCAACTGAGCCACCCAGGTGCCCCTATTTTTTATTTTTTTTAAGATTTATTTATTTTAGCGAGCATGAGCAGGGGGAGGGGCAGAGGGAGAGAGAGAGAGAATTTCCAGCAGACTGATGTGGGCTCGATCTCACTACCCTGAGATCATGACCTGAGCAAAGTCAAGTCGGACACTCAACTGACTGAGCCACCCAGGTACCCCTAAAATGGCATTTTAAATAAAGGTTGAAGCAAGAAGTTTTTAGTACTCATTGAGAAGAGGAATATGATCAAGAATCTGGCATGTGGTCATTTAAGCACCTGTTTGTGATCAGCATAGATAAAAAAGAAAAAATAAGTGAGAGAAAGCATTGATAAAAATATAACATAAATTTATCCTTACAGTAGATTCTTGGGGAAGTTATTCCATAGACCTTTTTATCTTGTGGACTAGCTAATAAAATGTGTTTTAGTCTGGTTTTGCAAAATAGAACCAGCTAGATCTGTACTCTGAAGCCGAGCGGTGTGCTACACTTTGACCTAGAGACACCTACACTGTTACTCTAAAAAAAATGTAAAACACAAGGTATTTGGATTGATTCAGGGGCTTGGACAGTGGCTTATTCCACTTCAGTATATACAAACTTTAGCTCATTGAGCTTTAATAAGGACTTCTGTCCTGTACTGATAGGTTATTGTGTCAGGGGTAGGGATAAAATGACAGCACCTACAGCAAAGTGTAGCTCTGTTAAGATAGCTTAATGTGTGTGTGAGCACAGTGAAGTGAATGGGACTTCAAATTGCATTAGCTTTAAATCTCTGTTCAGCACCTATGACCTTTGTTACGGAAGTCACAGAGATCGTGGGATCAAGCCCCGTGTTGGTCTCCACACTTAGTGAGGAGTCTGCTTGAGAGTCTCTCTCCTTCTCACCCTCCCCTTGAGCTCGCTCGCTCGCTCTCTCAAATAAACAAAATCTTTAAAAATAAATAAATAAAAGATCTTTCTAACCAGGGTGATTATTACAGGTTAAATGAACTAGTATATGTAACCCTATTAGCACAATATCTTCATATGCTGACTAAAATGTTGCAAGGAGAAATATGTAAAAAGCAAAAACTATTAGAAGGAAATCTTGGTGACCATTTTCTTACCAGTTTGGGAAAAGATTTTCTTTTCTTAGGAAAAGAATTTATAAAGGAAAAGATTGAGGCATTTACATCAGTATTTTAACTTTGGTAAGTCAAAACCACCATGATAAAAATTAAGACAAGTGACAAAATGTTCTTTGCAGCATGTGAAATAGAAGGAGGAATACATAAAAGTGCTCTCAAAGTAAAATGTTATGAAAATGATTGATATCCCAGAAGGGGAAGGAAGGACGTAAGCTAGCAGTTTACAAAAGATGTCAGTGTACAAAAGATGTCAGTGTAGAAATAGGTTTATCACTAGGAAGCAATGAATCCCAAATGAAATGAGATTATATTTTCTTTTTTTAAGATTTTATTTATTTGACAGAGAGAGAGAGAGACAGAGGGCAAGCACAAGCAGGGGAAACGTCAGGTAGGGGAGAAGCAGGCTCCCTGCTGAACAAGGAGCCTGATGGGGGCTCAGTCCCAGAACCATGGGATCATGACCTGAGCCAAAGGCAGCTGCTTAACTGATTGAGCCACCCTGGCGCCCCGAGATTATATTTTCACATAGACATTGGTAGAAAAGTTTAAACTGACAATAACTAGTTTATTTTGTGGTAAATTGGGTCCCCATACATGGTTGATGGAGGATAAATTGGTATAGCTTTCCTAGAAGGCAGTGTTTAAAGAACCTCAAAGCAGGGGCACCTGGGTGGCTCAGTCATGAGGCGTCTGCCTTCAGCTCAGCTCATGATCCCAGGGTCCTGGAATCTAGCCCCACATTGGGCTACTTGCTCAGCGGGAAGCCTGCTTCTCCCTCTCCCACTCCCCCTGCTTGTGTTCCCTCTCTCGCTGTCTGTCTCTGTCAAATAAATAAAAATCTTAAAAAAAAAAAAAAAGAACCTCAAAATATTCACTTATTTTAACAAAGCAATTCTGTTTCTAGAAAATTGTTCTAATCAAATAGTTATTAAGAGATTCAGGTAAAGGGCTGTTTGTAATAGTAAACATGGAAGCAATTAAAATGCCTTAAAATTAGAAGTACTTTGTGGCACAGCCATATGATGTAATACGGGTACATGAAGAACACATTTTTGAAGAATACTACATAATGTGTGAGCCAAAAAGGTTGTAAAACTAGAGTATGGCTTTTGTTTTGTTTTTACCAAAATACATGTGTGTAAGTAGGGGGAAACGTGATTAAAACGGAGTCACCTGAAGCATGAAAGCATATGGATTTATGGATGATTCGCAGTTTTCTTCTTTATGTTCGTTCTTTGTAGATTTTCCACAGTTACTTGTACTTTGTAAGTTTACTGTTGTAATGCATGGGTGAGAAAGTTCATATTTGGGGTGAGCACCCATAAAAGATACAAGAGGAAACAAATCTGTGTATTCTCCAGTTTCAGGTTTTTTCCTCTGGCAGCTATATTCAGATGAAATTCACACACCATGAAAGTCACCCAGTAAAAGTGTACGTTCCATGGGTTCAGCGTGTTTACAGACTTGTACAGCCATCAGCACAGATCTACTTTTCTGCTTCTATAGATTGGCCTGTTCTGGACATTTCATATAAGTGGAGTCATACTGGGACGCCTGGGTGTCTGCTGGTTCAGAGTCCAACCTTGGTTTTGGCTCAGGTCATGATCTCAGCGTCATGATATAAGCCTCGCGCTGGGCTCCACGCTCAGCATGGAGTCTGCTTGTCCTTCCTGCCTCTGCGTGCTTTCTCTCTCTCTCAAATAAATAAAATCTTAAAACACTTAAAAACAAACAATCAAATGGAATCATACTATAAAACAGTCTTTTGTGACTGTCCTTCACTTCCCTGATATCATCCAGGCCCACCTGTGTTGCAGCACATATTAGTACTTCATTTTTTTATGGCCAAATAATATCTGTTGTGTGAACATACACAGTTCATCTGTTCATTAGTGATGGACATTTGTATTTCTTCCACTTCTTGGCCTGAGTAATGATACTGCTGTGAACATTACATTTGTGTACAAATTTTCATGGGGCCCTGTGTTTTCACTTTGCCCTGAGAATACACCGAGGGGTACCAGAATTGCTGGATCATAATAACTTGATTGTTTTAATTTTGTTTTCAAAGTAACATCTTTCCTAACCCTCTCTCTGGCAAGTCATATGTGTTCCTCATCCCCTAGACTTCTGAGATATGAATGACTGAAGCCTTGGACAACAGTTTCTTCTACCTCTGCACTCGCTCCCTGGATGACATTATCAGACTTACCACTTCCAGCTCTCAGATATCTTCCTAGACCTTCATCCAGAACTCCAGACTTATATACCCAGTTGCCTTATTGTGACACCTCTATTTCCCGGTCTGATAAGCATCTCAAAGTTAACATGCCAAAACTAATTCCTGATCTTCCCCTCTAGCCTGACCTGCTCCCAGGCCATACTTATTTCAGTTACTGGTCATGCCATCCTCACTCAGACCAAAATCCCTGGAGTAAGTGTTAACTCCTTTCTCTTCCCAAAACCATTCCATCAGCAGATTCTGTGGTTGTGTCTTCAAAATAGATCTATAATGAAAAGACTCCCTGGTCTCCTTTCAGTAGAGATCCTGACAAAATATAAGCCAGCTTGTGGCATTCTTAACCAATCCCATCCCCACTCCATTTTCTCCTCTGGCATCATCCCTGTTCTCTTCTGTACTCCCTGCTGACCTAGCTCCAAGCAAGCCTGTGCTTACCTGAGGGCTTTGCAGGTTCTCTTTTTTTCTGCTTGATTGCTTTCCCCCCAGATACTGACCTCACTCCGTAACCCTTAGCTTTTCACCCACCCAGATGTCATTTTTTAGTAAAGCCTTTACTGACTATTATCTTGAATAATGTAACCTGTTCTCATCACTTCAGTCCCTCTTCTCTGTTTTTCTCCAAAAGCATTATAATTTCACCTCTGACATGCTGTGTATTTTGCTTTATGTTGTTACTGTGT